GGAATTTTGTCTTCGGGAATTTTATTTTGGGAATTTTGTCTTCGGGATTTTTTTTTTGGGAATTTTGTTTCGGGAATTTTGTTTCGGGAATTTTTTTTTGGGAATTTCGTTTCGGGAATTTTTTTTTGGGAATTTTTTTTCGGGAATTTTGTTTCGGGAATTTTTTTTTGGGAATTTTTTTTTGGGAATTTCGTTTTGGGAATTTTGTCTTCGGGAATTTTTTTTCGGGAATTTCGTTTTGGGAATTTTTTTTTGGGAATTTTTTTACGGGAATTTTGTCTTCGGGAATTTCGTTTCGGGAATTTTTTTTCGGGAATTTTTTTTTGGGAATTTTTTTTCGGGAATTTCGTTTTGGGAATTTTGTGGATCGGGAATTTTTTTTTCGGGAATTTTGCCCTGGAATCATTTTGTTTATAAACAATTTTTTTCTTCGTAAACAAACCGTCCTATACTACCACGTTCAGTGTGCGTGCTGATACTCGATGAAGCTGGGTGCCGTTATATACTGAAAGTGGACAAACCAAAAAATATGCGGATATTTTTTCTATGCTAAAGCATATATCTGTCGCCTGAGTCAAACTCTGATATTATTTGCCATCTATATGAATATTGTGAATGTCTCTTTCAAGCGTAAGATACACCAGTTGAATGCAAGTCAAATGTGAGATTAAATTCATTGGCCGTGTAATTGAGCTTGAGTAAACCAAATTGTTGTATGTAATTATTATTAGTTTTAATTTATTTGTTTTCGTTTGAAATGGGTTTCATCTGTGTGACAAATAAATGGGAATTTCTGCTGCAAATTCAATGATGATTCATAGCATAGACTAATCTCATTAATAGCACCCTAGTTAACAGTAAAGAAATCTTTGAAAGTGCAATATTTGATGAGCAGAGAAATAAATCGTTGCTTAATAAATACTTTGCACATTCCGATTCTTCCGAATCATCGTAGTTTACTTTTTAGCACTACATGGACTGTAGGCTACTGTAGTTGTTATTTTTTTTCCCGTAAAATAATTCATTTTAATATACATATTTTTTATTTCAAATGAAGCAATTACGCCTAATTGCCAAAATGAAATAATATCATGTTCATGTAATTCAATTTTGAGATAACTCAAAAAAATTGACACTTTTTTCGTTGCCAATGTGAAATAATGTACGTTGAACGTACATTAAAACAATAATTGAAGAATACAATATCATCATGTTAATTATTTTTGACAATATTAAAATGATACAAAAAGTATACTACGAATAAAACTACATTCCATGTAATAATTCTTACGATAATAATTTGATGAGAAACATCAAATTAATTAAACCCCTTAAATTTACAAGCTTCTTGTTTCCTTCTAAATTCTTGTCTTATCAAATGTAATTCAAACTGAATATGCCTTGATTTGGCTTCGCTTGGCTTGAATAAACAAATAGTGTGATGATTAAATCTTCCTTCCATTAATCTCTTCCTATGGAAATATCTATATTTGTAACAACAGCCATTCGGCACGGTATACTGAAGTGAAACTGAGCTACTCTTGACGATTTTTCCATTACGTTACATTCTTATTGTTCTACTCATATAAATCAGCGAGAGTGCTTGAGTTGCACAATTTTTCAAGAGCAAGTGTAATTTTGAGATTTCAAAATAACTTTCATACACGTTCATAGAATTTTTGTATTTATTTTCAACAGAGAAAATTTTGGACGTTATTTAACGTTTTTAGGAAACACTGAAAAAATCGCCCTTTAAGTCCTATACAAGAGGAACCAAGCACATTTAAAAAAATATTTCTCCAGGAATAATTTTAGTTTTCTGAATACAGAAATTGTTTTTTAATTTATCATGGAAATGGTTTCGCCGAAATTATTCCAAACTCCCAGGAACAGAAATTGTTTCCTAGACCTTATGAATTATTTTGCCAGAAATTCTGACGCAGCGCCTTAGATGCAGCTTCTGGATCATCATTCCGGGCTTTTTTGCCCAAAGTTTCGAAATACCAAACAAACTTGTTTTTTTCCGTAAACATTTACGATAGTGAAACCAACAACCCGTCAACATCGCTTTGGTGTAAATTTCTTTCAGGGCCTTACGTAGACCCGCTTCAAAGTCAGTCATAAATTCTTTTGGAGTTAATGGAAAATGTTTTTCAATGAATTCAAATATGTCCTTATAACAGGCTGCGCTCTTACATGATGACAAAATGTAGAACAATGGAAATACCTGTGATTCATAAAAAGAAGTTATACACCTTGAATTTATCGAGTAGTCTAGAAACAACTAACACATGATTTATAAGCTTTTGATGCACTAATTTCGCTCATTTTTAAAAAAAAGAGCTATGTATCAATGAACATTTATGTCAAAAAAAATTTCTTTTCAGTTAAATCAACTCACTTCTTCTTTAAATTGAACAGAAATAGTTATGCATTGTGTGAAAGGTTTAGCTGCCGTTTTGAAGGTGCCATCAATAAGATAGCGGCGTTCATTTTTATCAATATTATTATTGGCACACCTACACTTTATTGACAGTAGCCGAAATTGATTTTTTTTTTCTAAGGTGTAGCTGGGGTTGAGTATGTTCCAAATATATGCCAATTTTTTTCCGCACCCCCCTGTGTATCCAAAAAATGGGTGTTTGAAGGGCGACCATGAAAATCAGGGTATTGACACCAAAGGTCATATCTCCCCAGCCATGGGAGGGAGGGCATTGCTCCTTGGGTCAAAATTGTAGTACTCGTGAATACCTATCCAACGGTATACATTACTTTCACAATTGTCTACGTTATGTTCGAAAAACCGTTACACGAAGAAAATAAAATTTTTGGGTCAAAAAAGTAAGTTTATCTTCGTTTTCTGGGTCATTGGGTGGTTTTATCGTTGGAGTGTGTTCAGGAAAATTATAGAGTGACTCAAGGAGGACAACTTTGCTTCAGACCATTTCGCCCCATCTCCTTATGGCAGGGCAGTATAGCCCCCGGTTTCACTGAAACAAGGTCAAATTTATAAATACTGAGTATTTTCTTGTTCTAAATGTCATACTAGTTGCACCATATACCATGAAATATCCCGTATAAAGCTTGGTATGACACCTGTATGGATTTTATACCTAACCTCACTTTACCACAATACATATATATACGATTTATAAATAACAAAATAAACTAGGTAGGCACGAAGTAAAAAACCAAACCACTCAATTACCACGCGGAAAAAAAGAACGCGCTCGTTCGGTCTTGCACTCCCTTTTAACCCCATCCCATTTTTATTTCATTCTATTCAATATAATGGGTTGATTAAATGTATATGGGGTTTCATTTCGGAAAAAATGGGAGGGCGGTTAGAAAGGAAGCACAAGACC